TGCGTATATATCACTGTGGTCTGATTTTTTTTTTTCTTTTTTTGGTCTTTTTTTTCCTTTTTATCAGTACCAGGGATCGAACTCACAACTGCCTGCTTGCAAGGCAGGCGCTTATGCCGCTGAGCTAAATCCCCGGCCCCTTGTGGTCTGATTTTTTTTTAGTTCTTTATATATCTAAATATTAGTTCTTTGTCTGAGAAAAATTCTTTTCCCACTGTGGGTTGTCTCTTTACTCTGTTGGTGGTTTCTTTTGATGTTCAAAAGCTTTTTAATAAGATGAGATCCCAGTTGTTGATACTTTGTGATATTTCTGGTGTGATCAGGGTTTTGTTCCTCAAGTCTTTGCCCATACATATATCTTCAAGAGTTCTATTTATTCTATCTTCCTGAAGATTTAGTGTTTCTGTTTGTTGTTGTTTGATTTGATACTGGTATTAAACTCACAACCTTGTGCTTGCCAGTTAGGTGCTGTGCTGCTGAGCTATATCCCTGGCCCAGTGATTCTATTTTGTTTTATTTTTTTGTCTGTGTGTTTTGTTGTTTTTTGAGACAGGTCTTGCTATGCAGTTCAGGCTGGCCTTGAGCTCATTTGTAGCCAAGGCTGGTCTCCAATTTGCAATGATCCTCTTGCCTCAGCCTCCTGAGTGCTGGGATTACAGGTGTGCACCACCATGCCTGGCTCAGTGATTCTTTTTAACATTTAGATCTTTGATCAATTTTTATTTTAGTTCAGTGCATGGTGAACGATATGGGTTTAGTTTTAATCATCAACATGTGGAAAGCCATTTTTCCCAGCACCATTTATTAAAGAGGGTATTTTTCTTCCAGGGAAGGTGTTTGGTTCTCTGCACCTTTGGTGAAAGATTTTAGATAGGCCACATAGGCTATCATACAGAGTGTAGGTAGATTTTCCTGAAAAATGATACATTTTTAGAGCAATACCTTCAAATATGCAGCTAGGCAAGTGCCAAGATGGCTATTGCACTGAATGAGGCCTCAAGTCACATCTGTATGATTGACTGGGTCTTCCAAGGACTACGATTTTCTTTCTTTCAAGGTCATTGATCTTTAACAAGGAAATGAGCTTTTATTTTGACAAGTTTCAGATTCAAGAAGTTTTCTATTTACTCCCTCGGTGGAATAGTTCCATTTAGTTTGAGGTTTTCCCTAATTCTTCATCATGGTCTGGGCTTTGTGTAGGTCCAGGACCTGACCTTATCAGAATACTCAGAAGAGGTCACATTCTCTTGGGCTAAGGTTTTTGTTTGTTTTGTTTTGAGACAGGGTCTCGCTATACAGTTCAGGCTGGTCTAGACTCACTATGTAGCCCAGGCTGGCCTCAAACTCACACATGCAATCCTCCTGCCTCAGCCTCCTGAGAGCTGATATTACAAGTGTATACCACTATGCCCAGCATTTGGGCTAAGGTTTGAAACCATAGGCTTCTTTGGATTTTATCTATAGTGAATGATTAAGAAACTGATGGAAAAATAACAACAGCAAAAAAAAAAAAATCACTCTTTTTGGTTTTTCATGTAGAGGTCACCTATCTGTCTCCAGACCTGCTAATGTTTGACTGCCTAAAAATTCCTAAGCTTCGGGGCTGGGGATTTAGCTCAGCGGCATAAGTGCCTGCCTTGCAAGCAGGCAGTCATGAGTTCGATCCCTGGTACCAATAAAAAGACCAAAAAAAAAGACAAAATTCCTAAACTTCCAAAAAATACCTAAAAAGCCGGATTCTGCTGACTTCATTCTTTAAACTTTCCATTAATTCCTACTGTTCTTAGAATAAAACACAACTTCTCTAAAACAATCCAAGGAATAACAGCTCACAAAGAGCTGTTGATTCTACATCTGAATCTCTGGAACCTGACTCTGTTGTATTACATGGAAAGGTGGCTCTGCAGATGTGATTAAGTTATGTGATGTGAAAATTACCTTCAATTATCAGGATAGTCCAAGGCAATCAAAGCTGTCCTTGTACGGGTGAGGGAGTAAGGCCAGAGTTGGAGAAGGGAGATGTAAAGATGGGATAGGAAGTGGAAGTGATATGGGGCCATGAATTAAGCGATGCCAGGGGTTCCAGAAGCTACAAGACAAATAATAAATAGGTAACTCTTGCTAGATCCAGAGGAAGGGAAATGTGCAGAGGAGCATGCCTGGGTAACACTGAGGCCCATATTATACACTTGAGTGCCATAGAATTATACTTTTCTGAAAAGTATCAAGTATGATGTAGATAACATATGAACCACAATATTTATTTATTAAATGCTCTCATATGCCTCTGCTCATAGGCTTCTGCTTTTGTGTATAACTGTAGTGTATTTAATAGTGGCTGCCAGAAAGATATATTCAAATCTCAGCTTGTGTGGTGGTACACACCTGTAATCTGAGCACTAGGGAAACTGAGGCAGGAGGATAACCTAGAATTCAAGGCCTACCTAAGCTACACAGTGAGAGCCTGTCTCAAACAACCAGGAAAAAAAAAAAAAAAGAAAATACATGTTCAAATCTCAAGCCTCAGAACCTATGAATGCATTCTTATTTGGAAAAAAATTTATTTGCAGATGTAATGATGTTAAAGATCTCAAAATAAGCTCATCCTGGAATTAGGGGTGGCCCAGATCCACTGATGGGTATCTTTGTAAGAGCAGGCAAAGAGTGAGGAGAAGCACAGAAAGACAAGAGGTGGGGCTGGATGTAAAGACAAAGGTAGGGGCTGGGATTCTGCTGCTAACCAAAGGACTCCTGGAACCACAGACACTGGAAGGGTAAGAAGGGTTCTCTCCAGAGTCCTTCAGAGGGGCATGGACCTTTTGGCCTCTAAAATAGAACAGAGGAAAGTCTATTGAACTGGATACCTCGGTTTGTGGTAATCTGTCCCAGCAGCTACAGGAAACAAATACAGTAATCTTCCCTAAACTCCTCTAGTGTGCCATAAATCAGTACGACCCTGCTGCAGACAAAGTCACCTTGCCATTCCTTTCTCTCTTATCCTTTCAATATTTTAGCTGGTGATTCTTCTCTCCAGTGTTCTAATAGCCCATCTGTACACATTTCTCTGTGTGCTTTGTTTTTAGTGCACACAGTACAAACAGAGTTAAGATTCAAAATGTTTAGCAGTTGGGTTGGCATAGTTATAGACCAATCCAAATGAACGACAGCTGCAGTGATAGAGCCACGTGCAGGAGGCCCCCTTCCGGGCCAAGTACTGCCCTTTAGAAGTGGAACTGTGGCAAATGGAATCAAGACTCCTGATGGCAATTCATACTGAATCCCAGGATCCATGCTAAGTGGACCATGTCTCTGAAACTTCAGCACAACCCTATAGAAAGAGAGGCCTAGAGAGTCGGCATTATGTCTTAGGTCACTCAGCTATTAAGCAGGTAACAGATGGCCTGACTCTGGAGTCTATGCTCTGAAATATTTGGAGAAAATCATTTCTCTGCAGAGTACCTGGAGTAGGCCATACTTAGAAGAAAGATGCATCCAATCTGGAGGTGTTCAGAAATGGGAACTAGTTACTTCGGGAAAATGATGCCAGAGAGGAACCTTGTGAGCCCATCTTTGATTTCCATCAGAACTGCAGGCCTGGGGCCTGGGAAGGAGGCCTCAGCAGGAAAGCAGGCAGAAGCATGGAGTTATTTCTCCCAGCCACACTGGGAGGTGAGGTGAGCTCTAAGTTTACGCAGTCAGGTAGAGGTTCCAGGGTTTCCGGGGAGCTTGGAATTGTAGCCCAGTAGTACAAACTTGGTAAGATTTCTTGAGTCCTGAGACTTCCCCATATTGATTGCTTTTTCCCCACCTGCTTCCCCCAAGAGACTTGCCAAGAAGAGAACATAAAAATTTAGGTTATGGAGAAGTAACATAAAAGGCAGGGTTGTAGTCTGGGTTAAGCAGGCAAACTTGCATTTCTAGCTTTAGAGGGTAGAAGGGAAGTAAAAAATAAAGATGGGAGGTGGCGGTGGCTTTATAGAGGGAACAGCCCTAAGTAGCTGGCTTGCACAAGAGAAGAAAAGAGAAGTAGTGAGGTCTCTTCGGCCCAGACAGAGGTGTGGCCCCCAGGGGTGCTCAGGCAGACAGACAGGAGGAGAAACTGAGGGGGTCATGTGAGAGCAAGAGCAGCTGCTACCCTGGAGTTTACCATCAGGTGACTCCCCCGCCCCCAAGTCCAGCGGCCACCTCTGCCAACAGGAACTTTTAAGTAACTCTAGTCCCCAGTGATTAATTATTCTATTACATTAGTTAGCTGTTGGCGGCTCTGTCACACCACATACAAACCTGAGCTATTTCAGTGACTGTATTTCTGAGTCATGTTGCCCACTTTGTGTATATTTTCTCCCACTGTTCTCTAATCTCATTGTCTCACTCCATATACATAGATGATAATTATATTCCCCTCCTTGGCTGTTTTTTCCCCTGTAAGATCAAAATAGCAACAACAGCACAATAACAAAAGGAAGATATGATTTTCTTGACTACTTTATGGAGATTTTAAAGTAGCTTAGGTACCGTGCTTTAAGTGAGATCTGAAATGCCAAATTAAGTGCTCTTCTGAGCTCTGCAGTACACAGAAGTGTATATGGAGATAACCTTGGTGTGAAGGGCTTCTCAAACTGTGCGACCATCTTGCCAATTTCCAATTCTTCAAAAATTCTTTTTTTTGGGTTCATAGATCTAGCTGTTCCTCTTTTGTGGTGAATAGATCACTGCTACTGAAGTCTAAAAAGTTTGTGTTAAACACCTTAATATTTGTCAACATCAAGAGGCCTGCTTGAGTTCCCACCTGGTACTGCCAGTCAGCTTAGGGTTCTTTTGCTCAGTTCAGATGGCAATCATGTAGTGGCCAACTGCAGCTCTTCTAATAGTTCTGATGTTACTAGGGAATACTGGACGCCAACAGCGGACACTGCCAGCTGCTGGGCACTGCTGCCGCCAGTCATCACTGTCCATACCAGCTTGTGCTGAGTACCATAGCTGGGTCTCTGCCACTGGCGATGGGACACTGGGCACCAGGTAGTGGACCAATGCCAGAATATTGCTGGTGTCTATAACTCTTCAGTATTAACAGCTCTGTTTTAGGAGTATTTTTGGAGGCCACACTACCTGAGAAATAAGTCACAAGCAGGTTTACAGGAACATTAAGGCAAGTCTTTGTTCTAACAGGACCTGTGCTGAGCTAGTTACACAAGAGGGAGGCTTCCTGGACTGCAACTCAGATTAAGCCTGGGGTGCTACTTATGTAACCACTAGCAGGCCTGTTCAGCAAGGGTGAGGGATGAAATCAGAGAATCTTCCGTGAGGCTGCTAAGAATGCTGGGTATACAAATAAGGACCCAGATGCCACTCTTCCTGATCTTAACCACTCCCAGGTGCCCGGTTCTCAGAAGAGGCTGGAATGGGGGAAGGGGCCCATATTGCCTGCCAGCCCGCTCTAGCAGTCTGACGCCAGGGAGGACACTGAAGCAAACTGTCTCAGGCCATTGGGGTGCAAGGGGAGCAAAGGTGAGGAAGGGGAGGGGCGTGCTGGCCGTTAGCCAAGCCACCTCCCTCCCGGTAGCCGGCAGCCTGGCCTAGGGGCAGATGAGGAAGACAGGTGCACGGCTTCCACAGACGCCGCCCTCACCGTCGCAGGCCTCCCCGAGCCCGGCCGCCTGAGCCCAAGCGGCGGGTTGGAGCCCCGCGCGGCCCGCAGAGCACGTCGAGGACCGGCTCTTCGCGCTTCGGGCAGCTCGGCTCGCTTCTGTCGCGCGCACCCGGCTGGGGTGCGCGTCCTACGTGGCCTTGTGCCGGGCCGCGAGCAGCCCTGAGCGGCCCGCGGCTGCTGCGGAACGGGACCCTGGGCTGAAGGGGGAGCCCGAGGGCCTGCGAGGCGGAAGCGGCGGGAACGGCGGGAGCAGCAGCAGCAACGACAGCCCCAGCAGCCCCAGCAGCCCGGTTGCAGCAGCCCCAGCAGCAGCCCCAGCAGTAGCAGCAGCAGCGCCCTCTCCGCGCCGCCCGGGCCGCCCGCCCCCGCCGGCCCGCTGGACTCCCCGCCCCTGCCCGGGCGTCCCCGGCCTCCGCCTCGGCCCAGCAGGAGCCTGGTGCCCGCTTTGCCGCAGCCTTCGTCTCCGCCGCCGCCCCGGATCACGACCGCGGGCGCCCCTACGACCTCGCGGCGGGATGCGAGGGCGACCCGCGGGCCACCCGAAACCTGCACATCGGAAACCTGGACCACGTCGTGTCGCAGGGGGCGCTGCGCGGGGCCTCCGGGAAGCGCGGCATCAGCGAGGAAGTGGCCGGCAAGAGGCCAGCCCGGGGGCAGGGCGCGGCCCGTGCCTTCCTGCGGTTCCGGAACCTGGACATGGCCCGCAGAGCTAAGGGGGCCATGTCATGCCGGGCGATCGGCAGAAGCCCCATCAAGCTAGGTCCTGGCAAGGCCAGCCCCACTACTCGCCTCTGGGTGGGTGGCCTGGGACCCAACACCTCGCTGGCAACCCTGGCCCGGGAGTTTGACCGCTTTGGAATCATTCGGACCATTGACCACGTGAAAGGAGATACCTTCGCCTACATCCAGTACGAGAGCCTGGACGCTGCTCAGGTGGCCTGTGCCCAAATGAGGGGCTTTCCTTTGGGTGGTCCACACCGCAGGCTCCGAGTGGATTTCGCCAAAACGGAGGAGACGCGGTATCCCCAGCAGTATCGACCCTCACTCCTCCCTGTGGATTATGAGCTTCTCACCGATGGGTATCACCGGCACCCAACCGTCGACGCACACCTGCGGGTGCGAGACAAGAGCCACCCGTACCTGTACTTAGACAGACACCGCACCTTTTTGGAAAGAGACTGGATCGGTCCCAGGAAGAGTGCTGATCACAGAAACAGCCTGGAGGGGTATAGCCGGTCAGTGCATAGCCACAGTGGTGAGCACTGGCGTGGGGAAGGGGACCGAGGCCTGTCCAGGATCTGGGAAGATAGGTGGGAGGACAACCGCGGGAGGACTCCCCACTGTGCTTACAAGGAGCGGAGCTGGACCAATGGTGTTGGGCAGCAGTATGGCTATGAGGGGAACCATGCTGGTGCAGGGACCAAGGAGTCAGTCAGCAACGCCCTCAGCAGCAGCACACCCAGGGCCCAGGAGTGGGGCCACCACCTCCACCTCGAAGCTCCAGATTCTTTCCATGGCGAGAAGACAAGAGAGAGAGAATGCAATTATTGGACCAGTATGGCCGAGCCCAAGTCCCTGGAAGAATCAAAACCCGAGACCAAAAAGCTTACGACCCTTTCAGAGCATGTGCAGACGTTGCAGCTGGGTTGGAATGGGTTTCTTGTGTTGAAAAACAGTTGCTTCCCAACGTCTATGCATATCCTAGAGGGGGACCAGGGAGTTATCAGTGGTCTCCTCAGAGACCAGACTTCTGAGAGCAGGCTGGCCCAGCTGAAGATCGCCCAGCGCCTTCCACTGGACCACCCCAAGTTCAAGGACGTCACACAACGCATCAAACAGGGGAGCGCCCGTGGCTTTGCTGTGCTCCTGGCCACCCAGTCAGTCCCCAGTGGGCCTGGCACCGAGGGAATGCCCACCGTGGAGCCAGACCTAAAGAAGCGGCTTCTCAGGAACCTGATCTCTTACTTGAAAGGAAAGCAGGCTGCAGGGGTGATCCGCCTGCCTGTGGGTGGGTCCAAGGGCAGAGGCCTCAAGGGCATGCTCTATGCCTTCCCTCCCTGCCCCTTCTCGCAGCAGTACCTGCAGTCGGCCCTGAGGACACAGGACCAGCTGGAAGAGGAACACATGCTGATAGTGATGATAGTGGCAGGCTCGGCCTAGCCCAAAGCTGCTTTTTCCAGTACCTTGTCTGTGTCACAAAAGCAGTTACTTTAAAATCCAATTCCTTTTAGTCTGTTAGTCTGGCTGTTAATCTGTATGTATGATAACTAATTTTATAAGGAATTATTATTATTATTTTAAGAGCAGAATATATTTATTGAGAGAAAGCAAGCTTCTGGCTGGGGGAGAAACAGAAGGGTCTTGAGTGGATTACCAAAGGTTTTGTCTTTTCTAGGGGATCTTCTAGAGTAAAACCACAAAGTGCAATAGGTCTAAGCAGGGGGAAAACCTGGGAACTCACAAGGCAGGTGGGTATGAGGGGAGACTGAACTATAGCCAACCAATAAGATTGGTTGTTCAGATCTAATTGATTGAGTCAGGGACATATAGGGAAGCGAGTCATATCACAAGTGGGCATGCTTAAAAAAGCAGTGACTCCTGGCTTCCTCAAGGTGATCCATACCTATTTAGAGTATCAATTCTTGATGTTTATATGTAAGAGTGTGCTTGCATTTGTTTTGTCTTTTGTCTTGATGTCTGGCCTCCTGCAGGAGGTGTCTGTCTTCTCTAATTTTACCAGGTGTCTGGTCTTCTGCACTGGCCTCTTCAGGGACCTAGACCTGTCTTGACTGCTTGTAACATTTCTGTCTAACTCAGCTGCCTATAACAAACCCTCCCTCCCCAAGAAGTAACCCAAACTGCCATGATGGAGTAATGGCCTATGACTGATCTGGCTTCTTTAGGCTGAAGGGGGTACTAGTTATTGATCGGCAGTCAGGGATATCTGCAGAGGTTCCATCTAAAGGCCCTTGATAAACGCGAGGCATTTTTATCTTGGAACACATACGGCTTTAACTCTGGAGCATAAATAAGAATTATTTCTTAAGGTAAAAAAAGCTTAAAGATAATGCAATTCTGACCATTTTTCTCTTCCTTTTTTCCATTTTCCTCTTTCTTACAGTATGATTTTAGTTGCAAAAGAACATTGTAATTAATATTTCACTCTATTCCATTTTTGCTCTTGGAAGTAGATGGGTCAAGCGCATATGCAGAGAAATATCAAATGTCTTTTTTCAACATGGAAGGGTCAAACATCTTCCAGTGATTAAGAATGCATTCTACAGGAGTCAGAGATTTTAGCATTGAGTGATGGATTTAGCATTGGTGGATGACCTCCAAATGACGTAGGGGAATGAAACTCCCAACCTGCTAGTTGTTCAGTACAAGTTCAAGTTCTCTAAAATCGAAGAATGAATTTTAGGAATTTTAGATTAGGACCAGAATATATTTATTGAGAGAAAGAAACCTTCTGTCTCAGAGAGACACAGAGGGGGGTCCCGAGTACCTTTTACAAAGAATAATAAATAAATGAATATGATGTTAGCAAAAAAAGAGTGTGTTCTGCACAGCAGCAAGGAACAATGTGATGTGTATATTTGCCGATTCTGTACCATGATGTCATCATTTTGTACTGTGAACATGCACTATGAAAAATTAAAAAAAAGAGAAAAAATAATCTGCCTCCTTCTCTACCTGTTCTTTTGATTTGAATTCTCTGCTGGATTAATTTGGTTCATTTGGTGGGGATCAAAGCTTTGTCAATAACTAAAACTATGTTCTTAGATTTTTGGATGCTTGTTTTTTTAACAGTATTTTTTTAGGACTCCCAGTATGTTGACTGTCTGCTGTAGCCTGCATTTTTTTTTCACTAATATTTGGAAAGTTGTCAGTAAAACCTTTACCAGAAGATGGATTTCTAATAAAAAGAGAACTGCAGGGGCTTTATTTAGACAAGAAAAGGGGGAAAATTATAATGACCCAAGAAAGAATAGATTTGTATTGCTGAAAAGACTATGAACCACATGTTCTGTTTGCTGCATTATTTCTGGAAGATATCCTTGGCGAATCTTATTTATCTATTACATACATTTATTTTGGTGATACTGGGGACTAAACCCACTGCCTTGGCGCTATGCCATACCCTCACCCCTTTTTCTTTTTCTGTTTTGAGACAGGGCTTCACCTGGGTGCCCAGGCTGACCTCAAGCTCTCAATCCTGATGTCTCAGCTTCATGAGTAGCTGAGATTACAGATGTACACTACCATGCCAAGTTTCCTTGGCAACTTTTTTTTTGGTACCAGGGATCGAACTCACAACTCAGTGCCACTGAACTAAATTCCTGGCTCTCCCTGGCAACTTTTAAACACTCACATTCTCATTTTTGGGGGGATTTCTTTAGCTGTGCAAATGTAGCGATGTGAAAATTGCAGTTGGAGAGGGCGAGAAAGAATCCTGCTCCTCTGATTGAAAACTATTTCTCTACTCTCCTCTTTTTTGATGTCTTTGAAACAAACTCTCTCCAGTTGACTCAGCTGCCCCAGTTGGACAGTGTTACACACATTCAAAGGAATACACACTTCCCCATCCACACAACCACATCAGGAGGTTAGAAGTATAACTTTGACTCAGCAGGGGATTTTCTATTCACATGCTCCACATACACCAGGTGCCAGGCCCTGGGAACCTCTTCACACTGGCCCACAACTTCTCAGCTGTGCCCAAACCGACTGCTCAGCACATTGTTCTGAGGCCAGCTTGGATCTCAGAGTGTGACAGCCACCCATTTGTCCTGCCACATGCTCTGAGATGACAGATGTCTACAAGTCAATGCCTAAGGAATGGCACCCTTCAATAGCTAGGAATCTGGAATATCCTGTTTTTGAAGATTTTTCCTAGATGCCGTAGATGATGATTTTGTTCTTCAGTCATTCTGATAGGACCTGGATCATGCTGTTTCTGATGAAATATACTTTGGGCTCCATTTAACTATATTTTGAAATCAAAGTGCATGTGTGTGAAAGAAATGAAAGTGATTGAAGTGTGACTGATCATAGTGTTGGCATCATTAATTAGGAGCATTTTGGTGAAAAAATCAGTAGAAAACCCAGTTCATACTGATTTAAACAATAAAAGAAATCCATCCTGTCACATAAAAAGTTTTAAGGTGGTCCTTTGTTGTCAAATATGTTTCTGGGCTTCATTCTGAGGGTACAGATGATTGTACCCAGAAGTACAGGAGCCCCTGCTGGGCATGAACCAGCTGGTCCTTGGAACAGAGGGAGAGTTAATCTGCTCAAAACCATTTTGCTGAGAGTTGGGTAGGAATGTTACGCACAGGAAATTTGGAATGTTGTTTTATCAAAATAAGAGTAAATGTATGCAAGAAGACAAAAATAACCAACATCCCTGATTGGGTGTATTGACTGGAAAACTATAAGCTATTCAGAAAGGTGGGTTGGGGAGTGCTTGTGAAGGGCTTTGTGAAGGTGTCTGAACAAGGAGTCCTTTGAAGGGTTCCAGTCACCACTTCTCATCGACGTCCACAAAAGCTCTTGGGGATTTAATATCTAATAATCGTTTTACAGATAAATCTTTACGTGTGTGGAGTTAGAAGTTTAGTCAGTCAGTATTTAGGTGCCTAGTATTTTTTAATTGAAAGAGAATCAAACCATACAAAATAAAACAGAATAAAGCCAATCAAAGCAAACAGCAAAAGTGATACAAGTCTGGGGGTTTAGCTCAGCGGCATAAGCGCCTTCCTTGAAAGTAGGCAGTCGTGCCCTGTTTCGCTGTTATGCCCTCTATTATCTCAATCTCCACTCCATTATTTACTTTTTTATTTTTATCCATTTAATTAAAGGGAAAAATATAGCAGGGTATAATATAGTAACCCACTTTGACTTTTTATTATCTCGATTTGAAGCCCTGTATTACTCTCACCATCTTGTTTTTGACTGAGGTTCCTCTATTCTGTTTTGCTGGATAGTATCAGGTTCGAAAGTTTAGGCATCAGCTGAGAAGATAATGAGATTCATTATAACGCCCATTCTCGTTGACTTTTATCTACTTTTGAAGACCTACAATATCTCCAATGTTTTGGTTTTGTCGGTTTTATTCTTTACGGTTTTGTTCAATTGTATTACAACTAATGATATAGGCAATTCTATTAGAAATAGCGGGAGGCCTTATTGTTTCAAAAAAAAAATTATTTAGTCATTTCTTATGTTTGTCTTAATTAAAGAAAAAATTCAAAAAAATTAGGATATATAAATAGTAACTCTTTTCGATTTCCTATTAACTTGTTTTGAAGTCCTGTAGTACTCCCACGATCTTGTTTTGACTGATTAGACTCTGTTCCATTCTATATGATAGTATCAAATTTGAAGACATAGGCAACTACTTTGAAGACAATAAGATTCACTAAGATACCCATTCTGGTTTGACTATTGTCTTCTTTGGAAGTCCTGTAATGTTTACAATGCCTAAGTTTTATTGGTCTTGTTCTCTACTGTTTTGTCCAACTTTATAATATCTAATAAGATAGACAATTCTTTTTAAGGAAACAAGGGACAACGTTGATAACCATTGTTGATAAACTTGTACTCTGTTCTACACCATGTGCTACGTCTATCCTTGGTATTGACTGACAGCTTTGTTTTGCCATATTTGACTGTATTCTTCCCCCCCCCCCCAAAGAAAGTAATAAGCACTAAGGAGTAATAAAATCCAAGATGTGTAAATTTTGTTGTAAAAAAGAGAGGGGAAAAAAAAAAAAGAAAAGGAGCTCTAACGGATATAACAGCAAGTGTGTTTGGGGGTGTTAAATAGCTGACTTTATCAATGTTTTTGGAACATTGAACACAGCTGTTTGCAGTCTCCCTGTTTGAATGTCCACCTTGTGTTCTTTGATACTGTGATTTGAGGAACTATTTTCAAGAAAATAGTGTGTAATCTACTAGCAGGTAATTTCTTACTGTTATGGTTTTTTGTTTTGTTTTGTTTTGTTTTGTAGTTCTGTATTGCGTGTACCCTTACGCCGCTTTGGTTTGTTTTGTGTTTTTCTCTTTTTCCTCTTAAATAAAAAAAAAAAAGAAATAGCGGGAGGCATTATGGTAACCATTGTTGATCACCTTGTATTATGTTTTTATATTATCTATTATGTCCACCCTTTTGACTTGACCGATTCTGTTCTGTTATGTCACATTTGGTTTTACTCTCTTCCAAAAAAGCAGTAAGAACCGTGGGAGCAATGAAACCCAAAATGTGTAATAGTCACTATACAAAAGAGAGGAAAAGAAAGTGCTCTAAACTATATAACTGCATGTATATTTAAATGTATAAGATAGAAAATGATATCACAGAGTTTTATTGGATCATTGAACAGAACTGTTTGCAGTATCATTGTTGGAATGTCCACTCTACAAGCTTTAATTTTGTGACTTGAACAATTATTTCTAAGATGGCAATATGTAATCCATTAACTAGTGATTTCCTACTGCGCATTTTTTTCTTCTGTAAATCTGTATAACTTGTACCCCTTCACTGTTTTTTTTTTCTTTCTTTTCTTTTCTCCTTAAATAAAAAAAAAAAAAAAAAAAAGAAAGTAGGCAGTCGTGAGTCCGATCCCTCGTACCGATAAAAAGGAAAAAGACAAAAACAAAACAAAACAAAACAAACACCAGTTTCGACTTGAAAAGTGATACAAGACCTCAAGGCAGGATAATAGGAAAACAACCACTAATGCCATAATGCCTCTTGTTATCTTCAAAATTGCTGCTCATACTGTCAGACACAGTAAAAACAAACAAAACAGTACAGAATAAAACCAATCAAAACAAAACAGTAAAATGGACCAAAACAAAATAGAACATTATTGAATTTAAAAAACAAGACAGAAGAAAATCGCCCATAGTTGCTATATTGTATAGAGTTATCTTCTAAATAGACACTCAGACTCCCAGCTTTAGGCCTATAAAGTCAATTCAATAATATAAGCATTAAATTGTTTTTGTGCCTCAATTACCATCAACTCAGTCTGAGTTTCTCTGAATTAGATGGTTGCTTGGCTTTTCTCTCTCCCAGCCTGTTTGTCCGCTGGCTCACGGGAAGAGCACTTCCTGTTTTTCCTCCCAGCCCACAGTTACTGCTGGCCCATGGAAAGGGCATATCTTTCTCGCTAGTATTTTATTTTTATTTTTGTTTTTTTCCCTTAGTATTTTATTTATTTATTTTATTTTTGTCTTTTTCTTTTTAATCGGTACCAGGGATCGAACTCATGACTGCCTGCTTGCAAGGCAGGCGCTTATGCTGCTGAGCTAAATCCCCAGCCCTCCCTTAGTATTTTAGTCCCAATACTTTTGTTATGTTTGGAATATTTCACAGTTAAAAAGTGAAAATAAAGCACTTGGTAGAGATTTTTTGGGGAGGGTGATTGAGATACATACACAGCTCTTCTGAAAAATAATTTTGAGACAGGGTTTTGCTGCATTATCCGGTCTGGTCTTGAACTTTTGATTCTCTAGTCTCAGTCTTCTGAGTAGCTGGGATTACAGGCATGTACCACTATGCTTGGCTTGGCTTGGTAGATTTTTGTTGTTGTTTTGAGACAGGGTCTTGCTATGCGGTTTAGACTGGCCTTGGGCTCACTTTGTAGCCCAGGCTGGTCTCGAACTTGC